AAGATATAATGTTAGTTTTTCTTCTTGTTATTTTTTAAATATTAAATTTATAATACGTTGTATAGTCATGTGTTTTCATGTGTAAAACAAATAGCTTTTTAATATGTCATTATTATAAGAGTTACGTTTTGAATTACATGACAAAGTGTATTTTTTTATGTCATGTCAGCTACGGTGTTCATCAAAACATGCTGAATAAAACATGAATGGCCTTCTGCAGCTCTGCTCCTACGCTCGTTTCACAGAACATAATGTTCTGAGCCTTTAATTATCGAAGGGAGAAAAACATCTAAGGAATTACTGGTGAACTGGAAATGGTTTAACCATTATATTACAATACAGATCATTTCAGGCTGTCCCAGTGACGAAATGACAGTGGGTTTGGGTTGGACTGAGAGGATAAAGTCTGCCAGAGAGCAACAACAGACAAAGCGACACAAATTGTCGTTTGTACCTAGTGCTATTATCTTAATTAACAACACTAAATTGTAAGTGTTGTTGCCATTGCACTTTTTTCGATGGAATATCTAGGTTGTTTTATCAGGCTTATATTATATTATAGTATTTTTTTAATGAGTGTACGTGATGTGTTGGTTGTATGGTTGTTGTTTGTTTTGACATACTGCGAATCAATTTCCCATCAGGGACAATAAAGTTACCATTGACCATTGAGAGATGACACATAGTTTAGGTGTTAATTTAGCTTTTCTTCTCCCTCCTGCTGGCTCCTCCGCTTTTTAATACGGCGAAAATGATCCCATATAACAAAAGGAAGGGTATTCCACGGATACCTAAATTTTATTTTTCAGTAGTTCGGTAATTAGAAACCTGTCTATGACTAAAGTCTGTACTCTGACCGGCCACATTCACAGCAGGAAAGAAAAAGGAAATAATCATGAAACTGTTCGGTGTCTCTTATAGGAAAGTTAAAAGAAATAAGAATTATGAGGAATTAAATGAGGTATTATGTTAGTATGGCTAGAAATCATGTAAACGTTATAAAATTGTAATAGCAGTGGAAACAATGACTTCACCCTCACAGCAGGAATCTAGTACCACCTCTCCAACCTTTTAATGAAAACAGAAAAAATGTGTTAAAATGTGAGCAGCTGGGACGGACCAGCATGGATTTTATGACCTCCTGCTTTTGATGAAAAAAAAAGAAAAGAAGGAAGTTAAGAAATCTGACGCCTTTGAGTTCGTTTGAAGGATATTTTATTTTGTCTTTACAAAGTTCCTTCCTGAGAGACACTCTTGTTGCAAACTAATACATCTCATCTACTGAGAAGCAACTCAGGCTTGCCAGCCCTCAGTTGCAGGACTGTGAATTTGGTGAATTTGTGTGGAGAAGCAGGTCATGATGCTGGCAAGGTTTTGTTCCAGGAGCCGTCTGTGCCTCTACAAACAGTGAGAACGGCTCAGCTTCCAAACTTGTGCAGGCAGTCTGGCATGTTGAGAAGCAGACAAAACACTGAATTTCATTTGCTAACAAATATTCAGTGTTCACTTTCAAAAAATTTTGCAAAACAAATTATTCAGGCATGAGTGGTTCAAAATTACTGCTTAACACAAATGCTGCATACACGGTTTTGCTGCCAGAGGCCTGCCAAGCATTTAGCAGTCAGTTCTGTTGGTGGGCAGTGCTCCTAGCTACGGGCAACATTGGATTAATTTATGCAAATGTCGGCTTCTTGGACGAAACACAAACTCAGAGGCTACAACATGAAGACACTGTTACTAATTAGAGCTGCATTCAGTAGAACTTTCCTATCATTGTGATGGTTCTGGGAGCAGAGAATCCCAATCTGACATGGAGAGGAGATAAATAAATCCTTTTCTTTACTGCCCTGTAAGCAAAAAGGTTTTGCAATAATAAATCAAATTTCAGAGTAGGTCCAGTGGCGTTAACACACCAGAAATGCAACAATGTCCATTTTCCCTCATGAATATCCAAAGTGGAGCAGTTCAGTTACTTTCGTAAGCAAAAATAACAACTCCTTTTAATGAGCGCTTGCTGGCCTTCCACATAAAGCAAAATCCCCACAGGTTGTACACAATCTTAATGTATCCAGACTTCTTTTTCTTAAATATGGCAACAAACATGGCTCACACTGATTTGTTTAGTGACTTTGGCATGTAACCAATCAACATATATGTTTCTTCTATTTTAGGGCAATAATGGAGCTGCAAGCGATACTTCCTGTACTCCTACTTCTCATGGCCCTCAGTGTTGTCTGGGCGTGTCCGGATGGATGCCAATGTAGAGGAAGCACAGTCCAATGCGTTGGCCTGTCAAACTTCCCCATGCCGCTGCCGTCATCTGCCACCAAACTCTATTTTTCAAAATGCAGTTTTAACTCTCTGGAGCCAGAACACATGACGAATTCGTTGGATTTGTTGCTAATTAAAGAATCTCTTTTGAGGGAAGTGCGCCCTGGCACGTTTAATTCAACACCACATATTGGGTCCTTAACATTAACTGGTACCCAACTGCAGGATCTGCCAGAAGCCTTGTTGAAAAATCTGCAGAAACTTGAGGCTCTGACACTAAGCATCAACAACCTCTTAGTACTTCGGCCTCAGTGGTTTTCCCTGTTGACCGAGCTTAGAAGACTTGACCTTAGTAGGAATCTTTTCACTGCAGTACCTGTGGAAACTTTTCATCCACTGAAACAGTTGAGCTACCTTTCCCTTTCTGGTAACAAAGTCAGCCAGCTATCTAGAGAAACCTTTAAGGGTCTTTCTCAGATCATAACTTTACGCCTTAATAGAAACATGCTACAGGAGCTTCAAGTTGGTACTTTGGATGACCTTGTAAACCTGGGAGAGCTGTCACTACAAGACAACCAAATCACTCACCTCCACCGTGACCTGTTCTCCAAGACTCCAAAACTCCAGAAGCTGTTTCTCTCCAACAACAAGATCACATCTCTCCCAGAAGGGATCTTCCTAAACGTGCCAAATCTTTCCCAGATCTCCCTGTATGAAAACCAGCTGGAGACTCTGGGGCCAAGGGTGTTTGGGCCCACGGCCCTTAAGGAGCTGTGGCTGTATGACAACAAGCTGAGTCGTGTGGAAGATGACACGTTCAGGAACCTGACTCAGTTACGCCTCCTGGTCCTCAGTCGTAACCGGATTAGTTATGTATCCACCAGTGCATTTAGAGGATTGGAACAGCTGGGAGAGGTATCCCTGCACACCAATCTGATCACGACCCTGCAAGCTGGGACTTTCCAGGTGCTACCAAGACTGGTCAACATTTCTCTGGAAAACAACTTCATCAAATCCCTCCCACGTGGTTTCCTCCAGGGTCTGACCCACCTGGGACAGATAGACCTGCGAAACAATTCCCTCCCTAACCTACCACAGGAGAGTTTAGACGCCCTTACTGCATCAGAGGAAGTACTCCTCCAGCAAAATCCCTGGAGGTGTGACAAGGATATTCTGCCACTTAGGGACTGGTTGAAGCAGCACCCATCAAAGACCAACCAAAGCCTTGTGGTCTGTGACGCTCCTTCCAGTCTGAATGGCGAGATGATTGCTTTGCTGGCAGATGAGAACCTGGTATCTCTCAGCTCTACTCAGGAGCCCGTGCTGACCTCAACAGAGAAGAGGAGGAGGCCACATACACCTCCAGCCAAAAGAAGCACTCCCTCACCCGCTGTCAAGACGACCCCCACCTCAGAGTATGAAAAGGTAACCAGGAGTGGACAAGGGAATACTGGAAGCATTTCTCGTGATATTTCAATCACCCTAATTGTCATCGCAGTAGTGTGCACTGTCATCATCAGCACTGTAATTATCAGCTGTATTTGCTGGAGGAGAAATAAGAGTGGCACGGGGAATATAGGCCGCAGGAGTACGAACTCTGTGCTGTAGACTGCAATTCAAACAAAGCACATGAAGAACTTTTAGAGGGCGACTTTGGAGAGTTGGTAATTGAGCCTGAAAGGCACCAGAGAGTTCATTACCTTTCAGTTTTATTCATCAGATTTACCCCTCAGTGTGTCTTCCTGACTGTGCATCTTTGAGGAAAGAGATGCCATCTTAAATACTAACTGTAACAACAAATGCCTTAACAACTTTTGGCCAACCTGGACATATTTGTGAATGTAAACTGAAACATGCTTCGCCTGTTGAGTTAACCGCCCAACGACTGTTTTTCATTAACAATTGTTGCAGCTTGACGGCTGATTTTGTGCTAACAACCCAACATTTAGCAAATAGTTGAACTTCTTTGCAAAAGCGTTACAATATACATACAAAAGATGTAATATGGAGTTTACTATACTATACATCACGCTTCAATAGCCTGAATAAATGCAACACTTCTAGTGGGAGCATGTGCACGCTCTCTTATTGTCTCTTATTTACTGAGCTTCACCATTCATACTAGGTTTGACAAGTCTGACATTATTTATATAAATATATACATTGTTTCATATTTGAATTCTTGTGAAAATGATTTTAAACATGTGAAAGTTTTCAGCATGACACTGACATAGTAGGTTGTACATTTAATAAAACGTAACAAAAACAACAACCCAGGAGTACTAATTTTTTTTCCATCCATTCGCTTCCGCTTATCCTTTTTCAGGGTTGCGGGGGGCGCTGGAGCCTATCCCAGCTGTCATAGGGCAAAAGGCGGGGTACACCCTAGACAGGTCGCCAGTCTGTTGCAGGGCGAACACACAGAGACAGACAACCATTCACACTCACATTCACTCTCACATTCACACCTAGTGGCAATTGGGATTACCCAATTAACCTAGCCCCACAAGTTGCATGTCTTTGGACTGTGGGAGGAAGCCGGAGTACCCGGAGGGAACCCACGCAAACATGGGGAGAACATGCAAACTCCACACAGAAAGACCCCGGCCTGATGGTGGAATTGAACTCAGGACCTTCTTGCTGTGCGGCAACAGTGCTAACCACCGTGCCACCATGCTGCCCACTAATTTTTTTTAATTCATTTATTTTATTAAGGTAAAATTAAAAGAAACAAGGCAAGCCTCACGCTTCAATCACATAAATCCATACATAATAGCCAAGTACAGAGTGTCAGCATGAGTACCATTGTCAAGGTCCGGCTGTGTGGGAGGCAGGATGTGGACCCAAACAGAGGACTTAGAAAACAATAAGTAAACTTAAAATCTAACTTTAATGCTGACTATCCACAGAAATAACAAAAGAGCAAAAACTTCTCCAGGGCAAGAACTGGAAATCAGAGTACAGGTATATAAGGACAACATGTGTCAGGGAGACACGCTGCTATGAGGGAAGACACAGCAAAGAACAGAGGGAGACTCAGACGATAAAAACAAACCAGGTAATGTAAGAGATGGAAAACAAATTAAACTAAGAAGTCCAAAACACAATACCCTGGGTTAAACACCCAGTTACATCTACTATCCTCTTGGTAAAATCCATTCTACATCCACAGTACCTTCCATTACACTGCCATCTAATGGAAAACAGTCACGATAAAGTCTGAAATACTTTAGCTGGAATCCAAAAGTTCCACCTGAAGCTTGCCTATGATTACAAACTGGAAGCAACAAATTCATCAAAAATGATGTTGTGCATTTTTTCGTGCTGTTCCAGTGAGGAAGTAAAAAACCAAAATAACAAACACATGTGCGTTTTAACTGGCCTGAAATATTGTGTTAAGCATGTGTTAAACATTAATCACACAGCTATGTATGACGTTAAAGAAAAACTCCACAATCTTGAATGCACTCTGTAGACGTGTGCAGTAACTAAAAAACTGATGCCTTGCTCTTATCTCAGGCTGCAGAAGTGTGCTGCGCCACGCCTCAGATGCAACAGACTTACAGCCTGTTGGAGCCTCAGTAATAATTACCTAACTCGCATGTGTCTTGTTTTTGCTGGAGCTTCATCCTCCAAAAGAAATAACCTGGTAGGTACCATTTTCTTTGATATTTGACTAGGTTTTAAAAAAAAAGATTTTCCAGAGAAATTGCAGGTCTGAATTTGATGCATTAAAAACAAATCATGCTAAATTACAAACCAAAATGTAATTCTTGAAAATTTTGCATGAGGGTAAAAATATTTTTTTCTTTTTCTAGTGAATAAAAATGTCCAGAGGCGAGATCATCGTTTTCTTTCTACTTTTCATGCCTGACTTTTCACTGGCTGAAACCCAACCATGTGAAAAGGCAACTGACTGCCCCAAAGAGAACCAGGCAGTTTTTAGCTCAGCTACAGAAATCCCACGCTCTCTCAGACCCAAAGTGACAGAAGTCTTTTTTTTGGTTAGCCACATTACAACAATACCAAAAGGAGCCTTTGCTGAAAACCCACAGCTTGAAAAGGTGGAGTTCATAAACAGTAACATATCATCCATCGAGCTGGGAGCGTTCGAGGGACTGAAAAACCTGAAAAATATTGAGGTCTCCGGCAGCAAATTAACGTCACTCCCAGTAGGAGTCTTTAACGACCTCAGCAACATGCAGGAACTCGTACTCAAATCTAACAAGCTTCAAAGACTTGATAAAGGTTTGTTTGAAGGCCTTAAAAAACTAAGACACCTCCTGTTGAATTTGAATGAGATTAAGTTGATTGAAGATGAGACATTTGACGGTCTTGACAACCTTTTAATGCTCCATTTGGGTAAAAACAATCTCTCTGCTGTGTCAACTCACTGGTTCTCCAACCTAAACAAGCTGGAGGCATTCCGACTTTATGAGAATCAGCTGACCACCATTCCTGAAGACTTGTTTCAGAATTTACCAAACTTAAAGGAAATCAGCTTGCATGGAAACCAGATAGAAGAATTGCCTCCCAATCTGTTCCCTCATAAAAACAAACTGACTAAACTGTTCCTGGACAATAATCTTCTAACTACTTTTCCTGAGGGGTATTTTGTTGGGTTCCCTCAGCTTAAAACACTGACCCTGAAGAACAACAGGCTGAAAAGTTTGCCACCAGTGCTGTTTGGAGAAATGCCCAAATTGACCGAATTAAGCCTCCAGGAAAACAATCTCTCCAGTCTCCCTAAAGGAGTTTTTGGACCTCTGCAGAAAATCAGGAAGCTGGACCTGTCAAAGAATAAATTCGTCACCTTGTCCCCTGAATACTTTGAAGGCCCAGAAAAGCTCACAGAACTGAATCTACAGAACAACATGATAGAGTCACTGGATGAAGATCTGTTTGAAAAGCTACAATCACTAGCCACTCTCAAGCTTGCTCACAACAACCTCCAGACGCTTCCTGGAGATATTTTTGAGCCATTAGGAAAGCTCAGGAAGCTTGACCTAAGTAACAACCCGTGGCTCTGCGACTGTAACCTGAAAGCCTTCCACAGCTGGGTGACTGGAAATACTGCAAAGCTCACGCCTCCTCCACTCTGTGAGTGTCCCGAAGATTTGAAAGGGACGGAAATGCACTCATTAACACAGGATCAGCTGATATGCCCAACACTTCCACCCACGACTACCACAACAACTACACCCACAACTACACCCACGACTACCACAACAACTACACCCACAACTACACCCACGACTCCACAACAACTACACCCACAACTACACCCACGACTACCACAACAACTACACCCACGAACACACCCACACTACACACAACAACACTCACACCCACAACTACACCCACACTACACCCACACACCAACCACACACCCAACAACTACACCCACAACCACAACCACCCACACCACAACAACTCCAACACACCACGAACACCCCACCACCTCACCCACGACACCACAACAACTACACCCACCAACACCCAAACCACAACCACCAACCACCAACCACAACCAACACACCCACGACCACCCCAACCACAACTACAACCAACACAACCCACAATCAACACACCACAACACACCTCAACCACCATAAACAACACACAACCAAACTACACCCACCCACCCCAACCACAACCACCCAAACCACAACCACGACCACCCCAACCACAACTACACCCACAACCACCACTACATCCCTGACTACGACAACTACACCCACAACCACCCCAGTAACAACTGCACCCACGACTACCACAACAACTACAACCATCCCAACCACAACTGCAACCACAACCACCCCAACTACAATTGCAACCACCACTACTCTGACCACGACTGCACCCACAACAACATCTACACCCACAACCACCCCAACAACAAGTACAACCACAACTACTACAACAACTACATCTCCTTCACCCACTCCAGTGATCTTCTCCTGTCTGAACGTGACAACCTCAGAGCAGCAGCAAGCTTACTTTGCTCCTCAAGACAGCACAAAAGTTCAGCAGTGCAAAACTCATCTGAAGGTTTACATTGTTATTCTGGTGGTAGAGATTATCTGCACATTGGCTCTGGCTAAGTTCACCATTTCACTTTATCACCTACTCCAGCGCAGTGAGAGGTTGTACCACAAAGTGAAACTCACCCGCTTCTCCTACAAGAGGGAAGTCATCCTACGGCCTCTGCGAGAGGCAGAGACCCGAGGACTTTGAATTTTCTGAGGTGCTGCTAGAGATCAGAGTTTAATCATCAGAAAGATCACCAGGATGGCAAATAGGCCAGAAGCAATCATACAACTTATCACAACATCCTTAAAGCTGTAATAATTCATCTTAAATGATTTGGGAGCAGTGGAGCGATAAGATGAAGAAAGAATAAGAAGTAAGAATGATGCATACACATGCATTAGGTTTTGTATCCCTTGCTCAAATGTAATGTTTCTGGATGTTTTCTCTGTTTTGCTTAAAAATATATGTAAAAGATATTAGTTTTTTGTTTTTGTATGTCAAATATAATAAAATGTGCATAATTTAAAAAAGACGTTTCTGAAACTAGTCATTACTGAGATTTCCTTTAACACATTCTTACAGCAAGGGGGTGGCAGAGATCCATAAGACCTCACTCACATTCACCAAAAACAAAAAACAAGAGGTGCTAAGAATAGGACCAGTTCTGCAAATTAGAGACACTGGAACAGGTGAGAGAAGTGCTCACTAACACAGATTTGGACAGATTTGTGAACAATATTTGAGAGTCATGGGTCTTTGTGCATGTAGAAAATGTTTCAGATCTTTAAAAAATGGGAGCAAAAGTGTTGCGTTTATATTTTTGTTCAGTGTAGTTCACTGCCACACAAAAGCAAATTCTCCCAACATGTTGAAATTGGGCTTGGTCTTCTCACACTCTGCCACCATTGCTACAAGCGATGAAGCGCCTTGAGGCGACTTTTGTTGTGATTTGGCGCTATATAAATAAAATTGAATTGAATTGAATTGTAACCTCACTACTCAATAAAGTGATCCATGTGATCCCTGTACTGACTCCTTCCCACCTCTGACAAATCCCACAGCTGCAGAATTGTCCAAGAATAATTTTTTTACAGATCACACCGCTGTGAGTGAAATCAGGAGTGTACAGGGTGAAGAGAAAAGGCGAGAGTACGGTCACCTGTGGTGCTCCTGTGCTGTGAC